ATCCAAAGCAGAAATCATTATGGACAGCAGAGCTGAGGACACAGATTCCTATCATTAGGCAATGACATATGACTGAAAAGAAAAAGACAGACTCCCTAAAAGTTACTTTCCTTACTATATAAAGTCTTACATATAGTATATATAAGGAGTCTTTGAAATATCATTATCAACAGAAAAACAGGTACAAAAACTTAATTCACAAATGAATAGGGTCCTAGTTAAAATAAATACACAGTGACTTCAGTTTTTTAAATATGAAGTATGGAGAGATACAGACTTGATTGGTAACAGAGGGTTATCTTTGGGCTGAAAGTTGTAATTTTTATTTTATTTGTGTATATCTGGATTTAAAAATTAGTTGTACAATTTTGGTAATCAGTTATTAAGGAAGAACTAATTTCAGAACACTGAAAAATGTGAATATGGAAGTAGCCTTTGTTCACTCAAGAAACTTTTCCTAGTGCTACAGAAATCTCTTCTTAATGGCTTCCATGTAATTTACCACTGGTATTGTTTAGGAAATACAATAAGAAATGAGAATAATGGATTTTTAAAAGCTACAATATATTATGAAAACCTGGAAAATTATCCACTATTTTTTAATGTTAAAAACAGTTCTTGTCTTGAATGAGCACATTATATTTATGCAAATATTCCCTTATGAAAGTTAAAAAAGTCTGTCATCAGGAGAGTATAGAAGCCAGTGAACAAACTGTTAAGCAGTTTCTTTTGTTCTAAAAATGTAAGGCCAAAGTGTTTCCTTGTAACTACTATTTATCTTTCCCAAAATAAAATATAGCTCTGCCCTAAATGGTTTTTATCACAATTTAAAAATTCTAACAGTAAGCTCTTTTTTGCATGTAAAATCATTTTATAGTTTTTATTCAGCTACATTTTCATCTGCTTCCTCTGATAGAAATTGTGTGAGAAAGGATGAGATAATCTGATACCCTCGCCCCACCCCATTTGATTGAGAGGAGGGTGAAGGCCCACAGAGCTTGGATTACACACAGCTGAGGAATACAACAGCCAAGCTAAAAATAACCCAACCTATGGTAGTTTATTGCTTGAGACTAATTTTCACTTCAATCCTATATTCATAAACTAGGAGATGTTTAATGCTAAACAGCAGTCTGACTGAAGAGAAGTGTCCAATTTGGACAAAATGTCCCTTGCCCAGATACCACAGTAATCTTCTTATTCAGATGGTGCTATAGTATGGGCCTAGCTCTGTGTGATTGGGCCCCTCTGCAGAACCTCTTCGGCTATTTTCGAGTCTCAGCTACGACTCACATGAAGTATAAGGCCAAGAACCCAACTGTCTTAATGCATATATCCATTTTAAGGCAGCACTAGCCTACGTATCATTTTTTAATTTCCTAGATGATCACAGACTTCGAACCTAAGACAGCTTAGGTTCAAAAGTAAGGAAGCCAGTCTATATTTTTGGCTTTTCCTTCTGAATGGTAGAAGGATCTAACTAAATACCTTCAGGAAAAGTGGAGGCTCTATTTGAGTTATATTTTTAGGTTACCAGGGAACTCTTCAGTACCCCTGATTTGCTAGACTGTAAGCTCCTTGTGCAAAAAAGCATTTTCTTATTTTTCTTTGTTTCCCCAGTGCCTAGGAGAGTTCTTGGCATCGAATTAACCCTCTGCAAATTATGTTAAATGTAATGGTCAGAGTAGATGAGAAGTGGCCTCCAGAGACTAGGAGAGCCTGCAACCAACACACAATGAAGCAGTAGCTTTGCACTGTGCCTGAAATGTTCCATATATGTATAAAATTCTATGGTTATTCATACAACCTTAATAAAGGAATAATAGAAATTAACAATTTTAGTTTCCTAAAAGTTCCAGGGCTATGCATCTGAGAAAGACAATAGTCTCTACATAGAGACTTGGTTTGCAAAGAATAAAATATTGCTGGAAAAGAACACAGGTGAATGAAATAAAAATTTACCTTATGTTCTTCATAATTCTAAAGTAAAAAAAGATGGGGCATAGGAGAACAACTAAAGATAAAAACTCCCCAGCGCCATATCTTGCAATAGTCAAAAACTGAGGCTCCAGGGTTTAGAGATTTCTTATGAGAAACTCTAGAAAGAAAAATACAATGACTCATTTCATAATAATGCCCTTTCTTCCCAAAGTACACAGCACAATTCCCACATCCCTAGCACATGGGCACTCTGTACAGAGTGATTGCAACACGGAGGACTGCCCTGCACTAATGTCCAGAAGTGGACAGAGAAATGCCGACTGCAGGGGGAACAGACCTCCCTGGTGTAGTGGGGAGTGGGGACAGTGCGGCTGCATTCGTTCTGCCCCAAAAGGAGCAAAGGAAGGGGATTTCCCCTTTGTACTGCTTGATCTGGGACAGTGGTTCTTTTGTGCACCACCTTTAAGAACTGAGAGCTGAGTGCAGCTGGCTTTCTTGTCTGAAGGCTGAAAGAATTCCTTGGCAGAGCAGTTTTGAATAGATGCTTCCAGATTTTCTAACAAATTGTCACTGAGACATTGATGATCCAAATGGGGTTGGGTGGGGTGGGAGGGAGTGAAGGAAAAGAATCCGTGCCCTCCAGGACTACAGCATGAGGAAGGCACCTAGCCCTTAGCTCAGGTACTAATTCACTCCCCCTCACTTCTGTGGGCGTAGAAAAGTGAGTTAAGTAAACAATTATAGGAAAATAACTGAAGTTTATAGCCAATATAGCTACTCCTGGAGCCAAGTTCCCAGGCCTTGCCCAGCAGATATTCCTTGAGAATCACTACCAAGAGAGAATGAGAGGATCCTGCCCTTAGGCCAACATCAATTTAAACTGATAAAAGAATTCAAAGCTTGAAGGAAGTTCAAAGAATTCTCAGGGGAGCCTGACATCACTGGCTTTGGGCATTTGAAGTGTATCAAGAGGAAGAAGAATGTCTTCTCTCTGGCAGAAGGCAACTCTGGCAGGGAAGGATTGTTTATTGATCCTTAAATATCTGAGACAGTAGGCTTGGCAGAGGTCAAATATCAATGAGGATTAAGCTATAAGACACTTCTGGTGGAAGGGCAGTGTGGTTGGCTTGATGAGCAATTTGCAGGAGAGTGCCCCTTACCTGACCTGGATATTTTACAGCCACTAGTGATCGCCAACCTGAGGAAGTGGGGAGGTGCTCAGGTGAGGAGGCCAGGGAGGAGGGAAAGTGCACAGAGCTTCACTGACTTTTTGTGTTGGTGGGAAAGTGCATCTGTGAAGTGCAATAAGAGGTGGCCACAGAAAAAAAATGAACACAGAGATTGACCACAACCAAAAAGAACCCCCCCAAAAACAATGAAAAGAGCCTCATGATGTTTATGACATTTTTCTTATAACGTGGTTAGCTGTGATAGTATTATTGCTAGAAATTCGAACATTTTACAGATAAAGAAACTGTAAAAGGGTCAGACTAGTCAACTTTTCAGAGTGAAAATTCTCAACGTTTAGGAAGTGCTCCAGCTTATAGGATTTATATAACAGCAGCTATAGAAAACTTACATCTGTATAAATACCAGGGCCCCTAAGGGGGATAACGTTTCATTTATATTGAGATGTTTTAATTCCCGCTTAATAATTTAAGATACTAGGTATTAATATTGCATATCAGATACAAGATCTAATTTCTTCTGTATTCCATCTGAAAGCAATAACACTTTCTGGCACAGATAATTGTTGTTTTCTTAAACCACAGATCAGTTTCTTTCTTGTTCTGAAAATCAGTTAAACAATATTATATTAAAGCTGTATGCCAACAGAATTACTATTTAAGAATTTATTAATTTACTAAGAAAAGTCAACATTCTGGAAATATTTCAAAGGATAAACTTTTACTACTTCTTGCCAAAGTTGCTTCATTTATTTCATTTAATATGTACATTGTAAAGTTTTTTGATGGGTGAAGAAGAGGAAACATAAGGGTCACACCGGCTTTTCTGTAAGAGTCCTCTGCTCAAAATGAAGGAATCTAAATATAAATATAAATTCTCTGCTCTTTACTTTTCCTGGGTCTCTATTCTCTTTTATAGCCTCTGAAACAGTCTCCTTATATATTTGTTTAAGATGAGATAAGAAACTGGTTATAGACTATGTAGGCCAAATTTCAAATTTCATATGAATTAAAAAATAATAAACATCAGGGATAATTTAATATTCCCATAAATTATCTTAGAAGCATAATAATCATGTCATACTTCAAGGCTGGGTTAATGTCTGTTAGATTTTTTTTTTTTCTGTTAAAGTTTCAAGTTGTACATCTAATACTATTAAAAAAGTTTGTACAGAGGTAAGTAGATTGAACCATGACTGCAGCAAGATACAAATAATACAAGGAGTCTCTGTCAAGTGTACATGGTAAGCTTAACAGGCAAAGCTCTAAACTACAACACTAAGCATGTTTTATGTTTTTCTATGAGAAGAAAACTGATGAAACAGAAACAGGCCTGGCTGGAGCTAAAGGCTTAGCATGAGAAAAGACAGAGGGAAAGAGGGAAAGACGGAGAGGGAGAATGAACCCTATCAGCTACGAAATAATACACTGGGGAGAAATACTGGTTCTCATGAAAATGTTAGTGATTCACAATGGAATAAAATTCAAAAGCCACTGACCCCAGTGAAAACTTCTAGTGGAAACATGTGGATTTTGCTTTATTTGAATACTATCACCAAGCACCATCATAGTGCTTGCAATGTGTTGCTTTTTAATTTAAAATTGATGTTGAAAAGATACTGCTGATCAAATTAAATATTCAAGGGTCTTCAGGAACTAAGAGATTACAACAATAACAAATCAACACATGCATCAGTATTAACATGCAAAATAGGCACAAGAATTTTGGTCCCCAAAAGTATGTATTACTGAGTATTCAATGGTTGAATAACAACAGAAAACACTTCTGTTGTTTTTCTACTTTTTTCTACTTTTTACAGTAATTCAGCATTGAAGCAGATTTATTTATTTACGGCATTTTTTTATACATACCAATTCTTCATTCTGATTTGCCAAAATATCATGATTAAATTCAAGCTGACTAACACAGACCACAAATCTGTCAGGGAATACACGGAGTTCTGTATAAAATGAAGAAAATAAAGTTACTGAAGGCTTCAGAAAACTATGAACACAGATACATGTGTTCCCATATTTTTTCATTCATTTTATGCTATGGCAATATGCAAGTATATATAAGACGAGTGTCTCTTTTCCCCCCATCCTTCCAGTGTTTGCCATCAATAGGGCAGGATGAGCACTAAGCCTTAGGGAGTTGAGGAGGCTGCAAATTAGTCCACCTGAGCCCCTAGACCATTATACCACATGGAGCCTCCAGGCAGGGCCTTTGTAGCTTTCTCTCTGTATCAGTTTGCTATTTTCTTGTTAGAACGCATATCTGAAAAATAGTATCAGTGTTTTCTAATGAGTGTGTAGACTTTAGAGAAAAAGGAAGAATATTAGCTAAAAATCAAATAATGTGACACATTAATGTTTTTCGTAGTTTGTTTATCATCTGCTTGGTCAGTTGGTCTTAGAGAAGGTCTCCTACATTAGAGGGCAAACTCCTAAGATGAATGTGACCATAATAACAGCAGCTTCTGTTAAGAATTCAGATTATTAAGGGAATGGTTAAAGGTGCATGGTGAAGACAAGACAACTACACTAGAGTAATTGTAATCTATTACTTCAGCTTTTAAAGCAAAGCCACTAGCTTTTGGATGGGGTAGGGCAAATGAATTGCAGGACAGGACTCGCAACAGTCAATGAAGGGGACACAAAACAGTAACACCATTGGGATCTTCTCTTGTACGTCTGACTACCAGCCCCCACTGAGCTCTGAGGTGATGTCAGAATATCACAATGGATATTCTGAATGAGTGGAGAGGATCTCTTCCTTTGTTAATACTTGGTGTATTGCATAAATATTTTTATAATATATGTGATTTATATTTGTGACAGAAATAAATTCATTTTTCTAAAAGAGAAAACATGTGACCAATTTTTTAAAATATGGATACTATGAATCATGTAAATGGAGTCTCTTACATAAATTGCACAAGAGGGCACTGTCTGAGGTAATAATGAGTCAATTTGGTATACTCAGAAGCCAAACACAGAGGTGTCAACAGTGTGCAGATGCACAATTTAAACACAATGAACACCTTATACTGTTCAGCTAGGTTAAATTATACAAAAAGGCCAAAAGAATTGACATTCTAGCAACAGATCTCTCTTTACCCCCTGGACCACTGTTATTTCCTTTTATTCTAATTCATCCTATTTAACACAGAAGGTTAACAAAACAGTTCTACTATTTGCCTCAAGAGTTTTTCATGGCTCCCTAGTGCCCAGCATACATAGATAGGCAAACATTCAATGCCCTCCATGACTGGTGCCTAACCTGTTGGTCTGGTCTTTCTTCCAAACAGAAAGCCATCTTTCTCAAGTTGGGGCCCAGGTGTGTTTATCTGACCCCACATGAATGTTACATCTGGCTTGGTGACTATGGATGGCCTTTGAAAAACCAGATAACAAAATTATCAATTCAGTTAATATTTGTTCATTAGTTCTTAAAATATTATTAAGATAAACAATAAGTAGTTTCCCATTTTATGGAAGGGGAAACCAAGCCATAGAATTCACTCTATGTCTCCCTTTTGTCTCCCAAATCAAAAAATTGAGAGTGGATCACAATTGTAATCCAAAATTACCAGTTCATCAAATGATTTCTGTATTTAGTACTTCTATTTATTCCTCTGAAAAAAAAAATGATAGATTTGGAATACTTGGTACCAGGTATTGTATCAACAGAAAGCTACTTCTGTATTCCTTTACTCTGTTTTGGTTATAATTGAGAGTTGTTTTATTTTACTAGTTACATAGATTTAGGCAATGACAGTCCCTATTAAGAAGGATAGCTAGGATGCATTTTAGCAGGCACAAGGTTAGATAAATTAGTTTTATAAAAAAGGTGAACAAGGTGGAAGATCCATTAAGAGAGTAAGATATGCAAGCAGCACACTTCAAGTTAAGAAAGTGGAGGTATCATGAAGATTCCAGGGGCAAACTTCCATAGAGCTGATTTTTAAAGTCCTTGTTTTGTATCTTATAGATATACTGACATAGTGATGGGAACTTGAGTTAAATTTTCTTTCCAATGCTCAGAGAATTCTTGGAGAATGGTCACTATCTTCTAACTTTGTTGTACGCTGGATAAGACTGACATCATTTTCTCAGTGAACATCTTGGTTTGAGGGAGTGAGGGGTAGAATGTAGCCTAATTTCACACTTAGAGAATGGTCTTGATGGTTCTAGGCTGGGAAAAGGCTTTCTTATGTACACACTTGATCTGCATCCCAGGGCCTTGCTGTGTGCTGACAATAAAGAAGCAACTCTGGACACTCAATGAAAGTGCTGAGATGCATCAGGAAAGTAAAATGTAGTGTGGTCCAGCTCAGTATTCTCATTCAGTAAATGCAGTATCAATTGGGAGAAAAAAAATCACAAATGTTTGACAATATACAATGACATGAAGGCAATGAAGGAAGTAGGAATTTCTATTTCTTAATTTTTATCTCTTCTCTATGGCAAGTTGGTTGTGTAAACAAGAAATGAGCTCCTTACCAGTATTTTGTGAGCTCTCAATGCAGCGGAGGTGTATCCCTCTCTTAAGGAAATAGGCTGTGATCTGAAAGCCATAACCTGTAAAATGAAAGGGACATTATTGGATTATAAGCTGGTTTGGCACTGAATCCCAGGGGCCTAGTCCAGTGCGTGCCACACAGTATGAATTCAAACATTATTTAAAAAATGAAATAGCAAAAGAATCAGCATAGGGCCCCAGTTGAGACAAAGATCGGACATTACTATCTGGGTTCTTCCAGAAGGCCCAGCCATAACACCTGGCATAGTACTTTACCTGAAGTAGCTCAATTACTTCACTTGTAAAATGAGATAAACAAGAAGGTCTAACATATCTGAAAAATTAGGGCTTTCTGATAGGATGATTAATTCAGTGTAGATTGATGCTTAGATCTTGACATCTTTTGATATTTATTACTTATTAGCTCACAAAAAGAACAGTTTAATATTATTTGAAAATGAGTATTTTCTATAAGTAAATTACCCTCCAATTCAAATACAGCTAAGTATTCATACAGAATGAGATTAAAGAAACAAGGCACATATCCAAAAAAAAAAAAAAAATCCCCCCCCCCCCACTGAAAGCTGTTAGTGAAGAGGACAGAATTAAGTGTTAGAAAGTATATGGTGTTAAGTTTTTTGAGTTCTCTATATAGTGCTAAGAGCCACAGCCAAGTAAAATGATGCATGGCATTTTTGGTTGAAAGGTGACACCAGCTAGCTATTGAGATGATAAGATTAAGTTAAGATTTGCATTCATATGGATATTGGACTCCTGCTGTTCACCTCGGGCCTGCTAGAGGACTCCTGGAGAGTTCCCATTGGTTGGGGAAGTACAGTAGGAGGGAATTCCGGGGGAGGAACTTCCTCTGGGGTACCAGGAGAACGCTGCATGGGTCCATCGGGATTGTTCCCGGGGGTACGGGGCATTGGCGGCATTTTCAAATAATAAAGTTTGTTCCTGCTTGAGTGGCTCGTGATTTTGTGTCTAGCCAGACTGCGGCAATATACCCTAGAGATTAGTACTCTATCTGACGTGTGTGTGGCAAAAATTTGCTCCCAAAATGTAGGCTTTCTCTTCACCTCATTGTTTCTTTGCTGAAAAGAAGCTTTTTAGTTTGAATCTATTCCATTTATTGATTCTTGATTTTTATTTCTTACACTTTAGGAGTCTTATTTAGGAAGTTGGGGCCTAATCCGATGTGATGAAGATTTGGGCCTACTTTTTCCTCTGTTAAGTACAGGGTCTCTGGTCTAATTCCTAGGTCCTTGATCCACTTTGAGTTGAGTTCAATAAATGTAGTGGCTAAGGAGCTGAACAGGCACTTCTTAGAAGAAGATATACAATCAATCAACAAATATATGAAAAAATGTTCAACATCTCTAGTAATTAAAGAAATACAAATCAAAACTACTCCAAGATTTCATCTCATGCCAGTCAGAATAGTAGCTATCAAGAATACAAACAACAATAAGTGTTGGTGAAGATGTGGGGAAAAGGCACACACATACATTGTTGGTGGGATGCAAATTGGTGCAGCCAATCTGGAAAGTAGTATGGAAAATCCTTGGAAAACTGAGAATGGAACCACCATTTGACCCAGCCATCCCACTCCTCAGTCTATACCCAAAGGACTTAAAAACAGCATACTACAGGGACACAGCCATATCAATGTTTTTAGCAGCACAATTCACAAGAACTAAATTGTGGAATCAACCTCGATGCCCTTCAATAGATAAATGGATAAAGAAACTGTGGTATAGGGATTGGGGTTATGGCTCAGTGGTAGAGTGCTTGCCTAGCATGTGCAAGGCCCTGGGTTCAATCTTCAGCACCACATAAAAATAAATGAATAAATAAAATGAAGGTATTATGTTCAACTACAACCAACAAAAGTAAACTAAAGAAAAAAAGAAACTGTGATATATATACATGGTGGAATATTACTCAGCATTAAAAGATAATAAAATTAAGGCATTTGCAGGTAAATGAATATAGTTGGAGAATATAATGCTAAGTGAAGTAAGCCAACACCAAAAAACCAAAGGCAGGATGTTCTCTCTGATAAGTGGATGCTGAACCATAATGGGGGATGGGGTGGGTAGAATGGAGGAATTTTGATTGGGCTAAGGGGAGGGGAGGTGGCATGGAGGGGTTAGGAAAGATGGTGGAATGAGACAAACACCATTACCCTAGGTACATGTATGACTGCATATGTGGTGCAACTCTATATATCATGTACAAGCGGAGAAATGAAAAGTTGTGCTCCATTTGTGTGCAATGAATTGAAGAGCTTTCTGCTGTCATGTATATCTGATTAGAACTAATAAAAAATAAATGTAAAAGAAAAAAAAGAAAGTATATGGGGGCAACTAGAGTTCTCATATGCTGTTGGCAGGAGTACAAACTGGTAAAGTTACTTTGAAAAACGCCTAAATATCTAAAGTTGGGCTTAAGCATGAAAATAGTAGTCACAATAGCATTCTTCAAGATATTCTCAAACCAGGACCAACCAATGCAAAGATCCATTAACAGAATTCTTAAGATATTGCCATATAGTGAAATATTACACTGTCTCTAAAAAAGAATGAGCTACAACTACAGGCAATAGGAGCAATAAATAGCACACACATGATACTAAAAAGTCAAGCCTTTTAAGAGAAGTAAATCTCATTTGTGAAAATGGCAACAGTGCCTTCAATCTTACAGGTTGGTAATGGACTGTCACATAATTCAAAGAATATACCAGCCTTATTTCTTCCCCCTTCCCTTTTTCCCTCTCCTCCAGGCTCCTTTCAAGTATAAACTATTCTGTTGATGAATTCTTGAAAAGGTCAAGAAACAATGTTTGCAGTTAGCACATTCAAGTAGCTGGTGGAAGAATCAGAAGTGAAAGGTTAAGAGAAGGTGAAGGACCCCAGGTACAGAGACAACCTCAGGAAATGGCTAAGCTTCCAAGACAATATTTTACCATGGAACAACTGAGAATTGCAAGAAGTAGTCTCAGGACCTTTAGACTAGGTCTAAGGAAACCAATTTCCCTGATCCCCCTAAAGTCCATAACAATAATCGTTTTAAAATATCTTTTACAGAGAACATAAACCAAAAAAGAAGTTTCCACTTTTGCATTCAATTTCCTTCTGACACCCTGAGAGAAAGATCCAGGACCTCAGTGAGTGCAGACTTGATGCTATGTCTAAACAAGCTATGGCTCTGACAGCACAATTGCTTTAGTCATGCAGATTGTGAAACGGCAGTGACATCTATGAAAGGATAATCTCCAGATTTACTGAGATGAAATATACTTTTCCCCAACACACTTGAAAATGGATTGCATTTCAGTCATGTGGCTTTCCTGTGCTTAAAATGTTAAACAAAACATGTACACCGTTGGCATTACTCTGAGTGCTCTGAAACAAATATTTCATTCCTTAGGCCACTGAGAGAATGGAAGTCACTTCTACCTCTGTTTATTTGTCCTACTGCAGGGGGAGCAGGGTTATAAGAGACGAATCGTTAGCAATTTTGAACTCACAAACACAGCAAATTTAGAAGTGATTTTTCAAGTAATTATTTATGAGCCTTCTGAAGGATTAAATAATAACAACAAAAACGTGCCATATCTAACTCATTCTGCCTTTGCTGATTTACAGCTCTAGGTGATTAGGGTTCAGATGGCATGTTCAAAATCTCAGTCTTCTTCCTGTACAAAATCTCTAGCAATAAAATATTATCATGAGAAAGGGGCTAAATGTAAAGCTGCCCATGAAAGCTGCAGCTGAGTTTAGATAACTGGAGATACCACGATACCACTTGAGTGGTAACAAAATGCTATCGGGACAACTAAAAAATAAAGTTCCAATATGACACTTTTTCCTACAGTAAAATAAGGTATATTCCAATTGATTTATTACTGAAACTACTAGGAAAATTGGATTTATTGAAACCTGGCTACCTGCACTGACAACCCTCTGCAAGATGAGAATCATTCCTGAATTGGTACCTTGTTATATTATTGGCTTCAATGGAAAACCTGGCCTAATGGCATCTACAAGCGAAATGGCAAGTTTAACATGTAAAAAAGATTTGCACCTGCTTAGTCCAAATTCCACTGGTCATATGAAACTTGATTGTTTAAAGAGAAACCTGAAGAGAGATTAAACACAAAAGGTACTTGTGTCAGTTCTTATGGCAAACTAAATTTGATCTATAAACAAAGAAAATGACTGCTGCTGAAAGATACTGAACTGAAATGCTTTAGGGAGATGTATTTCATTTATCCATAGATAACAGGCAGTGATACAGACTACTCTCTTATCTTTGCTCTTAATGAAAAAGACTTTAGAGAGTTCAACAGGCCACTGGGATTTTGTACTTAACTAGGGCTAAAGCAAAGCTCCACTATTCTCTGAAGCTAAACAGCAATTTGGCAAAGAATCCAAGAGGCCCTTTGCTTTTCCTACTCAGGCACCAGTTCCCAGCTTGCAGCACTTGTGTTCTAAATACAAAAAATCTGAGTCAGTAGGAGATTCAGGGAAAATGTGCAAATGGAAATCATAAAGTGAAAACCTTTTATTGAAAAAACTATCTAGCTATAGTATTCCAAAATTATGAAGTACTCACAAATCATATTGAAGTACACCTACATCATCAAAATACTACAGGTTGAGCATCCCTAATGAAATTCCAAAATGTCCTGAAATCTGAAACTTTTTGAATACTGACAATGACCCTTAAAAAGTTTCATATTTCTGGAGCATTTCATATTTCTGATTTTTCAATTAGGTATGCTCAAATGGTAAAGTCTACACAAATATTCTAAAATCCAAAAAACTGAAATCTGAAATACTTCTGGTCCCAAACATTTCAGACAAGGGACACTCAACTGAGCATGACATTATTGCTCAAATAATTAATTCATACTCAAATTTCTCCACATATCCCCAAATGTATATCACTCATTTCCCCTCAAGCTAGGACTCAACCAAAGATCATGCATTTTTTTTTTTTTAAAGAGAGAGTGAGAGAGGAGAGAGAGAGTGAGAGAGAATTTTTAACA